TAAATAATTGTAGGTATTACAAAAATTCCTCACTTTCCCGTAATTATTGAGACTTTTTAAAATTATTATAGATTTTCTCAAAGATTACAATTCAGGATTGTTTGTCACGACTGAAATTTAAGTAGGAGAACACGAGATTGGAAATCACACGGTTTGGTTGTCACATGTCTTCGCTGATAGAGTTCGCATGGAACTTAAGTATTATTTGCTAATGTATTCAATTGTCAAAGCTGATAGTGAGTGAATGTTAACGTCTTGGCTATTATAACAATTCAAAAACAAATATTTAGGCAGATGAATTTATAATTTTTTTATCTACGAATTATTTTTTTATTGTGCCTCTAATAGCAGAAAACACTTTTGAAAGACTGTACCTCTAGTTATTTTATACGTAATTGATCTGCTCCAAAGGAATAGATTCTTATGAAATCCAGCCTTTACAACGAAAACAACAAAGTGGCGATGGTTGAAGCAAAAAAGCTCCTGATGTTAGGCTAACAAAGTAGTTAGACGCGTTGTGCTAAATAATACTTCAATTATTTTAGCTGCAAAGAATCAAGGCATCACCGAACACTGGTCAAAAAACAATTCCAGAATAAGTACGCGATACGGATCATTGCAGTATCTTTTTATCTGATACATTAAAAATCGCCGACTTTTCGGTGATAGAACGGAAAGTGAATTAGTTCAATATATATATAAATGCAAGCTCTGAAATTTATTTGGAACTTTCACCAAAAGAAGTTCGACTTCTATCATATTAATTTGCTGCAGTTAATTCTTCAGAAAAGCCTTCGTCGTGGAGGAAAATGAAGATTGCAGTCACAGATTTGTTCACGGCATTCATTAAAAGATGTTCATCCAGTGTTGAAAGTGATTCAGTTTTCAGAACCCCTTAAACAACAAGGTTGTCAAGAGCTGGAAGCTTTAACATTGACAAATTTTTCTACAAATTGTGGACTTTAAAGGAGTGTTATAAATTCCAGCTTCACGAAATCTAGAGCATGGTTGAGACTGGATTGACTACAGTACAGAAGCCAGATAGAGTTGTAGAACGTCGAGGTAATAAACAAATCAGCCTCATTGTTTCGGCAGAAAAAGGAAACCTTGTCCAGAGTAGCCAGTGATATTTCTGTGATAAGAAACTTGATTACGCCATTTTTAACTTTCCTGCTGGTAAACTACTGGGACCATTTTGGCGCAGACGTCCTCTAGGTTTAGAAGGAATAAAATTTATTCAGGGCGTCTCATTTTTGTTTACGCATTGTACGTACAGTGCACCAAAAAAAAGAACCATTCTAAATATCTTTTAATCTAAAGATCGGATCTTCACGTTCCAGGACTCATTCTTAATGGTTCGAGTGGGTGACCTTTAATATGCTAATTAATTAGTGCAGACGATATTTTAAGTTATGAAATCAGACTAAAAATGAACTTTCTTTGAATAAACATATCTTGTTTGCGATGTATTCAGATTTCTGACCCTCAAAATATAGGGGGTAGTGCAATCTGGGAAATAAAGTCCCTATATTTTTGTCTGGAAAGCGATCCAAAGTTTGGAACCCTTAATGTTAATTTCACTTTTTGCGTATTTTGCCATCTCTCAGAAACTTTTTAAGCGAATTGAAAAAATTTTGCACATAATTATAAAATTCGTTTATCCAAAGGTAATTCCATGCAAAAAATTTCAGTAAATATTTATTATTTTATTAAGTAACTCTCGAAAACATTTTGAAAAGTAAGGTATACAATTTTTACGGCATTTTAATATATGCAATTTTACATGGAAAACTAAAAATTTAAAGGAAATCGGTTGGATAGTTCCTGAGAAATTGGTTTTTAAAGAAGTCGTATTTTTAAAATTCGATTTCTAAAGCAAATATACGGCTTCTTTAAAATTCAATTTTTTAGGAACTATTCAACCGATTTCTCTCAATTTTTTAAAATTTAATTTCATACTTTAAAATGACGTAAATTTTGTATACTTTACAGTTCAAAATTTTTTCGAAATTTATTAACAAAACAATAAATATTTACTGAAATTTATTTTTTTACATGAAATTTATCTTTGGATAGACGAATTTTATAACTGAGCAAAAGTGTCAATTTCCTTAAAAAGTTTCCGAGACATGCTAAAATGCGCAAGAATTAAAATTAACATTAAAGGGTCTAAACTTAAGATCACTCTCCTGATCAAACAATGGGGATCATAGTTCCCAGATTGCGACTACCCCCTATATTTTGGGAGTCCGAAATCCGGAGCCATCGAAAAAAATATATGTTTATTCAGAGAAAGTACAATATCGAACTTAAAATATCGTGTGCTCTAATTAATTAGCATATTTGAGACCACTTTTTCGAACCATTAAGAATGAGTCTTAGAACGTGAAGATCCGTTTATTAAATCTAAAGTTATTTAGGGTGGTCCATTTTTTTGTGACGGTCCGATTTTCGAACTTTCCGATTAAGAGTTTAATAGCGATTTGAAGCCCAGTCAACTTTTTATCGATAGATACCAGCTCGGTTTAGAAATAAAGGCTGCAATTTCCAAAGGCTCCAATTTGCAAANTCGATATATATATATATATATATGTGTGTGTGTGTGTGTGTGTTAAAAAAGTAGGAAAACGAAATTAGGGAAAGATATAATCTCGTCATCAGCTCGCACGATTATATCCGTAATAAAGAGTGCTTTCTAATATTGCATCAATATAGCAACATTTATTTACACAATAGTGTGAGGAGCACCCAAAAAAACTGAAACTAAGATAGAACATACAAAGTAAAAAATACCAGATAAAACATATCCAGCAAAAAATAGAAAATGAAATACAAGTAAAATACAGAATAAAATACAAAATGAAATATATAAAGTGAATAGCGAATTCAAATGTACATAATTTTACCGGCATCTTTCGAAAACGATTTAAAAAATTTTCGTAACAAGTTTGCCAGATTACAAAATATAAAAATTGAAGATTAAATGGAGGATAATTTCAGACTTAACTGAGGTAACTAATAAACCAAACGCGCTTCTGTTCTTCAGTAAGAACGCTCCATAATATGAGCTCTGTATACTCTATTTACGCTTCGATTTTCATATTTTTTTAATTTGGTAAACTTGATAAGAAAATATTTTAAACCATTTTTTTAAGATGTCGGTAAGCGTAAGTACGCTTTATATATTACACTTTATATTTTATTCAGTATTTTCCTTGAATTTTATTTTCTATTTTTTGCTTTATATGTTTTATTTTGCATATTTCACTTAATATGTTTTACTTTCGTTTAACTTTCCCAATTGTTGTATTAATATATTTTGCTTTGACTATATTAATGCAATATTAGAAAACACTCTTTTTTACGGATATAATCGTTTGCGCTGATGACAAGATTATACCTTTTTTATATTTTGGATTCCGGTATTTTAATTTCTTTTAAATATTTTGAAAATTTTAAATATTTTTTAAAAATATTTTAGTTTAATAATTCTTCGTCTTCTTTTTTCATAAATTTTTATATTTTTTTCCATGTTTCCAATACATTTTTAACCTATTTTATGATTTTTTTAACTTATTTTTTTACAATAAATGAAACTTATAATTATTTTTCTTAATTTTTCCGTTAATGTCTCTTTTCTCTTTTCCTTTATAATATTAATATATGATATATGATATTTATGTATATTATAGTATGTCATATGACATTATGTCTTATGATATTTATATATGATATCATATATTTTATTTCAGTTTACAATATTTAGTTTAGTTTACCATTAGTCATTTTATTTGCTTAAACATACAATAATTTTATTATCTTTCTGTTTATAATTTATTGTTTTTATTATCATTCAGTTTTTTCGGTTATTACCATTTCATTATCATTTATTTACTTTAGTTTAATATTTTAGAATACAATTGCACATATTAAAACTTACGAACAGTTAGAAAATTTATAGCAATTAGAGGGGAAAAGGAATGAAGTATGTCTCTAGGACAGTGGTTCTCAACCTTTTTTTTGTGCCGGCACACTTTTAACGATTTCGAAATTTGACGGCACACAATGAAGAAAATTAGTTTAAGAGTTGTTTACTAACCTATAATACACTGTGTTAAATAGTTTGTGATAATAATTTTGAATGTGAAATAAAATAATATGTACTACAAAAGCTTATTTATTTAGAGATTAATTATTTCTTCCGACTAATTTTTTATTAGTTAGTAACAGTTATTTATTTTTTTTGCTAGTTATTAATTGTTAACTTGTTTTCTATAGTTATTAACTGTTATTTTTTTGTGATTTCTTGTCATCTAGTTTTTTTTTTGCTAATTATCAAATTGTTAGCTTATTTTTTTGTTAGTTATCCTTTGTTAATTTGCTTTTATAACTAATTATTGCGTAGCTTGCTTTAATGATTAGCTTTTATTTCCGTTTGAAAGTTAATATTTAGCTTTCTTTCTTTTGTTAATTAATAATTTTAATAGTCAATAAATTTTCTACTGATTTCATTATTTTTTTAATTGCCAGAGACAAGACAATCGCCGACAAAATGTTCACGCGCTTAAAGCCTGGAAAAAATTATAAAAAGTATATATATATATATATATATACACACACACACTTTTCTTTAATTTAGACTTTACTCGTAATAAAAAAAAGTATTAAATTTTTTTTTTTTTTGTATCATTTCTAATATTAGGCGGCACAATTTAAGAATTTGGCGGCACACAAAAGTGCCGCGGCACATTGGTTGAGAATCACTGCTCTAGGACATTAAGTTGCGTCACTTATGCCTATTTCTATACACATTTTAATAATACAAATAGAATAATTTTTTACTAAACTTCGAATGTGTCAAAAACTATATGCTATACACTGTACTATAATGACTACTACGTATTATACTATGTATTATACTATGTACTATTAAAATGAATGAGTTAATAGTATTGAATGAATAAACAATAAATTAAATGCGAAAATGAATGAATAGAAAACAACATCAACAATTTTATCTTCGAAATCTTTTTTTAAAGTCGCCAGTCATCTGTGTTCTTCTAAGAAATTGACCTGAAAAAGAAAAATAATAAAATTTGAATCTTGAAAAGTAATAGAACTAATTATAAACAGCTTAATTTTTTTATGAGCGTCGAAAGACTTTTTTAAAATATTTTTTTCTTTCTAAGAAATTGATAAATTTTTCTTAAATTTTTAATCGTTGATAAGGAAAACAATTTTGAATTAAACAGATACGAACAAATGAAAATAATGTAAAAAATTTCGTCATAGATGTGAATACTTGTTTTTCGTGTTACCACATTTCGTTAATGCTTCAAATAAGTATAAGAGAGATAGAAAATAAGGTTAATTTTACCGTTAACCTTTAGAAAACGCTATGCAAAATCTAATATCAATCACCTACACATATTTGTAAAACAGATATTGTGCACGAAAAGGAGTCTTCTCTACATTGCTAGTAGTAATTTATTAGTCTTCTAATCCTGTTTTAAATAATTGTAGGTATTACAAAAATTTCTCCTTTTCTCGGAATTATTGAGACTTTTTTAAAGTATTATAGATTTACTCGAAGATTACAACTCAAGAGTGTATGTCACTACAGAAATTTAAGTAGGGGAACACGGGACTGGAAATCACACGTTTTGGTTGTCACATGTTTTGTATCTTCGCTGATAGAGTTCGCATGGAACTTAAGTATTATTTGCTAATGTATTCTATTGTTAAAGCTGATAGTGAGTGAATGTTAACGTCTTGGCTATTATAACAATTCAAAAACGAATATTTAGGCAGATGAATATTTTTTTTTATCTACCAATTATTTTTTTATTGTGCCTCTAATAGCAGACAACACTTTTGAAAGACTGCACCTTTAGCTATTTTTTTCCGTAATTGATCTGTTCCAAAGCAATAGATTCTTATGAAATCCAGCCCTTACAAAGAAAACAACAAAGTGGCGATGGTTGAAGCAAAAAATGTCAGGCTAACAAAGTTGTTAGAAGCGTTGTGCTAAATAATACTTCAATTATTATAGTTGTTGTTGTTAATTTACGTCGCACTAGAGCTGCACAACGGGTTATTGGCGACGGTCTGGGAAACATCCCTGGAGGATGATCCGAAGACATGCCATCACAATTTTGATACTCTGCGGAGGGGATGGCACCCCCGCTTCGGTAGCCCGACGACCTGCGTGCGAAGTCGAGCACTTTACGGTAGCACAGTTTAACGAGGACCAATACCGCACACCCTCGGTCCCTACGCAGACTGATCCAAGTGGTCACCCACCCGCACACTGACCGTAGCCAGTGATGCTTGACTTCGGTGATCTGCTGGGAACCGTGTCTTAACGATCAGTTCACTGCGGGACTTCAATTATTATAGCTGGAAAGAATCAAGGCATTACCGAACACTAGCCAAAAAATAATTCTAGAATAACCACGCAATACGGATCATTGCAGTATCTTTTTATTTGATACATTAAAAATTGTCGAATTTTCAGTGATAGAACATAAAGTGAATTAGTTCAATGTATATATAAATGCAAGCGTCTGAAATTTATTTAGAACTTTCACCGAAAGAAGTTCGACTTCTATCATATCAATTTGCTGCAGCTATTTCTTCAGAAATGCCTTCGTCGAGGAAGAAAATGAAGATTGCAGACACAGATTTGTTCACGGCATTCATTAAAAGATGTTCATCCAGTGTTGAAAGTGATCCAGTTTTCAGAATCCCTCAAACAACAAGGTTGTCAAGAGCTGGAAGCTTTAACATTAACAAATTTTTCTACAAATTGTGGAGTTAAAAGGAGTGTTATTAATTCCAGCTTCACGAAATCTAGAGCATGGTTGAGACAGGATCGACTACAGTACAGAAGCCAGATAGAGTTGTAGAACGTCGAGGTAATAAACAAGTCGGCCTCATTGTTTCGGCAGAAAAAGGAAGCCTTGTGCAGTGTAGCCAGTGATATTTCTGAGATAAGAAACTTGATTTCGCCATTTTTTACTTTCCTGTTGGTAAACTACTGGGACCATTTTGGCGCAGAGATCCTCTAGGATTAGAAGGAGTAAAGTTTATTCAGGGCGTTTCATTTTTGTTAACGCTTTGTACCTACAGTGCACACAAAAAAAATGGACCATTCTAAATATCTTTTCATCTAAAAATCGGATCTTCACGCTCTAGGACTCATTCTTAATGGTTCAAGCGGGTGACCTTAAATATGCTAATTAATTAGTGCAGACGATATTTTAAGTTATGAAATAAGACTAAAACTTTCTTTGAGTAAACATATCTTGTTTGTGATGTATTCAGAGTTCTAACCTCCAAAATATAGTTAGTGCAATCTGGGAAATAAAGTCCCTATATTTTTGTCTGGAAAGCGATCAAAAGTTTGGACCCCTTAATGTTAATTTCACTTTTTGCGTATTTTGTCATCTCTCAGAAACTTTTTAAGCGAATTGAAGAAATTTTGCACATAATTATAAAATTCGTCTATCCAAAGATAATTCCATGCAAAAAATTTCAGTAATCTATTCTATTATATATAATTCTCTTACGTGGCTCCCAAATTTTGGCTGCATTTCTTTTCCGTCGGTGGCAACGTTTGCTTTGTTTTGAAAACTCCAAAGCATTCTGCCTTTTAATGATGTGTTTCTGATCTAATATATATAATTCTCTTACGTGGCTCCCAAACTTTGGCTAAAGTACTTTGTACAACTAAATAAGATTCTTTTCACAACAGTTAAATATTTACTTTATTTTCTTCATTCATAGAGAAAACAGTCGGCAAAGAATTCT